ATCTAGGTAATAAAAAGCTACTAACAGAAATGTGGAATATGATTTACACTACGTTCATGTATGTATACGCATGTCATACTCACCGTAGAAAAGCAACTACACACGTTATATGTAAATGCACATGTTTAGAATGCAGAATTGTGGTAAATATTCAATGGTGTACTACTATGTACTTGGCTGTAAGTATGTAATACGATCTATCGTAGTTATTATCAATTTTACGTCATAAAATCGTCACGTAGGAAAGAAAAGCAATATAAATGAATTGCACGTTTCCAACGACGTAATATAATTTATTCATAATCATATAAAAAAAGACCATTTAATCTTGTAAATGGTTTAGTACAGAGGCGATTTGCAACAATAATTTTATATCTCTTCCAAGTTGATTGGAAAGTTGCCGATTGCATTTACCCTGCACGAGACTATTGGATGACTAGGATCGCGCGTTAGCAGGGTGAAGGTTGAGAGAATTTTATTCGTAACCAATCACTAAAAGACTTTGTAAAAGACTTTGAAGTCGAGACAAGTCAACTATGACTGGTAATTGGAACTTGTTCTTTAGTGTGTGTACCTTCGGAATGTTTTCTTAAGTCAACTTAAGCAGGCGAAATAATGGAAACCATGGAAACAATATAATAATATAATAGCAATGTAATGATAACGATGACGATGACGATGGCAATAGCGATTACACATTAAGTTGTTGCACTTAACAACGATAGTTTGGAAATTCTTTTAGAATCGTACTTGTGCCGATATTCAGGACTGAACGAATTTTTATGTAAAAAAGAAACTTGTAGCTACAAATGTAAAAGTAAATGATAATAATGTAACGATAAGAATAAGGATAATAATAGCGATGATAGTGTGATGACGATGATAACCACAAGCATTTACTCGAAACAAAAAAAGAAGAAAAACTTAAATCGTACATGTATGTATGTACACATGTGTCTATCTATGCATGTGTGTGTATGTGTGTATAGTAGATACACATCATCAGGGTATTGGGTATAAAAGTTATGAATAAATTGACCTGAGTTGACCGTGATTCACCGTGAAACTAGCAGACATTTCACGTTTTATGATGATAGCTTTAAAAGTGGCTAAGTAAGTTGCAATCACAGTTCCCAACGAAACGGGGAAACAAATCACACGAGATAATCGATAAAAAAAA